ACCCCTTAATTTAAACACAGACTAGTTTTCCATATCTCACGATTAATAGTAGAAAATATTTTTTATGTGTACTGATTACGAAATGCACTTCTCTAATTAATTGTGAGGACCTCAAAGGGTGCAAAATTAATACTGACTTAGTTAGATTAATTACATAGGATTGTCGCTATAGGTAAAACACAGATGTGCCAGACAATTAGACTGCAGCATGCAGAATACGGCATTTGATCTCTACTAGAAGTAGACTACTGCCAACTCTCATGATGGAAAATAGATAATTTAAACATTTTCAATGATATCTATTAGGTGCAAGTAATTTGGTTATTTGCATAATAAAAACATTGATTAGTAATTAAAACTATGATCTTAAAGGTCAAATTAAAATAGTATCTCACCGAACCGATATCTGAACTCTGACCATATAGATCAAAATGGGGAGTGAATCTAAAAATATTCTCTTTACAGTCAAAATGCTTCCAATATAGCATATTTTGATTATGAAAGTAAGATACCTCAATTTCGGGTCAGGTAACATGACGCCATAGTTCAAACGGAAGAAACGCTGCTTTTATTTTTGAAAAATGCTCATCTCGCATAATTGTTCTTAGCTCTAGAAAGTTCTACACGAAACAATAAATTGGCAGTATACCTATTTACATTTATTTTCGTACACAGTAAGAACAAACAAATGAAATGTGATTAAAGCAAATTGTGTTTAGTTTGATCTATTTATACTTTTCGCTATCCTAATTTATTGCAAGTAACAAAAGAATTTTTTTAAATACATGTTACCTACTCATGTAAAGTTTGCCAGATGTTACCTATTTGGTTATTGCACCAAACATTTCCAATTCTAGCGGCGGTAACCTTAACGTGAAAATGTAGCACAATTAAGGAAATAAATTAATAAACCAACAAAAGAAAAAATCGATTTTGCACATACACACAGTATACTTAAATAGAATAGCCTTATCGGAGTAAAATGTCTGTGATTCACATTAAGGTGAGATCAATTTTAATGAAATTTGGAGTACAGATTTATCAAATGATCACTTGTACATACATATTTGCAGGTACCTTCCTCCAACATTTTCCAAACATTCACAATTAAGGTTTTACATCTCCAGTAGATGTATCTCGACTAGACAATCTTTCGGCTCTTTGAGAGACCTTCCTCCGCCACTCCGTTTTCAAGATATTTGCACTGAAATTTGGACATTACCAGTAGATACCTATGTCTCGCCCTGACGTTCGACTAGCCCTATATGAGATGACATTCGACACTTCGTTTTCAACATGTTCGCTTTTAATTTCACAAATAGATCTGTCACATCCACACGATTCATTTTGCCTATGTGAGTACTTTCCTCCGACAAACACAGTTGAGATCACCAATGAATATATTTCTTCCAGAGGTCCCAATCGCCCTTTGTAAGTATCCCCTCCGACAATCTGTTCTTGAGATATAAGGAATTATATCCCATTACGATAAGGGGTCAAGGAGGAGGACTAAGGTAGGTCGAAATTAATTTAATTTAATTTGTTGGGATTTTTCATTAGAGAACCATGAAGGAGAAAACCAGTTCCACCCCCCAAACTCCATATTTTGATAAGGGGTCAGAAAGAAGGGCGGTAATTAGTAGAAAAGAAAACAAATCCCCCCAACCCCCCGCCCCCCACAGTCACACACCGATGTACAAACCATTTCATTTCGAGAATCTGGATGATTGCGGTCAACTAAATATGTGCCAAGTCTATGTATTCATTTTTACGGGCTTTTACTCCATAATTGCTTGAGGCGTCAAGATAGCGACGATCAGGTGCAAATTCTTCTTTAATGGGGATATAGTATTACATTAATGAATTCGCCATGCGATAAATTCGTACTGCGGAAATTGCTGAACATGCAAGTTTTGAATTGAGCGGGATCTTTAACAGCGGTTTAGGGTTTATAGCAAAAGAAAAGATTGACCAGTGAGAATTTAAATATCGTCATTTGGAGTGATTATCCACTATTGTGAGCGTTCAAAACTATACCCAGTAATCAAGAGGGGGCGGTGAGGGGGTTGGTTGTGGGGAACTTTTAAGTTTTAAAGTACGCGTTTTGATATTCAAATTGACCAGTACGGTCCTCAAGAATTCACGTTTGGAATTTGGAAGCCACAGTGTTGCCGGTTCTCAAACCACTGCGGCGGGGAATGAGGGACGTTGTTTCAGCTATACCTTCACACGCTTAGCGTTGGGGTCGTTTGATCATTCGAGCTCGGCGAGTACATAAGTAAAACTCGGGTGGGAGAAAGGGATTCTTAGTCAAACTTTCGGGGCGAATCTATGCAGTTCGAGTGCTGCACTTGATTTTTCGATGGCCTATTGAATTCTTGGGCAAACATTCGAGACAAACCTATGTAACGTAAGCGCGGACATTTATAGATCGAATAAAACGAACTCCTTCGCCAAGCTTTCAAGGCGAATCTTGTGAGTTATGTACTCCATTTTTGAGATCGCATGATATTTCATTTTTGATTTAAAATTTATTGGTGTGGGTACTTTATCATTTCAGTATGAGCTGTTCTTTCGAACAAGAGAAATAAGAGGCGTTTTTTATACAACAAGCAAACTTCGTTGTGTAATGAACTCTCGAGTGAAAACTCATAGACGACGAATTTATGGTTAATCTAAATAAATTGTTACCACGAAAGCGTTGGGTTCGAAGGTGCAAAATGTTCATTGCGGATATACAGGGTGGCCATTTGAAAACGAAACAGAGCCTATTTTGGGGACCTCAAAACATTTACGAAAAAATTCTCGGACCCGTCAATTTTTGATCCAAGGGGAACCATTTTTTTGCTAGTTTCGCCCCCCTGGGGGCAAAGCCATAGCGGGGGTGACAAGTGCCCCCAAAATTTTAAATCGAATGGGGGGTCGAGTGATACCTTATTTTGAAGGTATTTTTATGTAGATTATAACTCTTAAGATTTAAATCAGTTTTTAAGTGCTTAAAGCTAAAATCAATCAAGTAAATGTTGGAAATGTTGGCCTTCGACTTCCATACAATAATACAGGTTTTGTTCAAACCTTTCCCGTGCATTTTGCAAAACTTCTGGGGTGATTTGACGACATTCATCAATTATTCTTTGTCGCAAGTTCTCTAGCGACGTTGGCTGACTAGCATAAATTTTAGTTTTTAAATGTCCCCATTAAAAAAATCTAACAGATTTAAGTCCGGGGAACGAGGAGGCCATTCAATAGCTCCTCTTCTTCCAATCCATTGTCCTGGAAGCGTTTGGTCCAAATATTGACGAACCCTTGCAGCATAGTGGGGTGGCGCACCATATTGTCGAAATACTATACGATTTTCCAAGTACTCGTTGTTATTTTCTAGTATCTCCACTAATGCTGGATGAATCGTATTTTCTAATAACTTCAAGTACATCTCTCCTGTTAGATTGCCAGGTAAAAAGAAGGGGCCTACGATATGGTTACCAAAAATGCCAGCCCAAACATTCAATTTTTCGGGACGTTGTGTATGTGTATGCACCTCACAAAATATTCTGGGATTTGAATCAGCCCAATAGCGACAGGTGTGTATTTGCCACTACTATTATTTGACAACACCAATTGACAAGCACTATTAAACTTTAAAATGTTGCTATAGTAACGCTCTCAACAATAACCAAGATTTCCGTTGCAGAATTGGCATAGCCACCTACCTACAGGTATTAAAAGGAAAAAAAACAACAACAAAAAGTACGGTTCAGAATGTAGGAGAACAACATTTTTT